AGTCTAGTAACAATATATAAAAATAAAAGCTATACCTTTTTGAGAATTATATTCTTGCAAATAAGCAGTTCCTTTTCTACAGTACAAAAATAGGGCTTGCTTATATATAAAAGTATTTTTTATTAAGTAACTTTTTTTGGCTTATAATAAAAGTTGTAGAGCTATTTTTTTGATTCTAATGGTGGTAAAATCATCAAAATCAGTTGAGTATATACCTTTTTGATATGGTACAGTGTTGAGTATTGGGTAAGGTACGGTACAAAAAAGTGGCTGTATCTAGATAAATTTTTTTAAGCAGAGTACACAAAAAAAATAATAATTACTGTACTAAGTTTTATTTTTGATATTAGATACACAAAAAAATAAACACTTAATAAAAAAAGTTTACTGTACCCAAATTTAATATTAACAATTTGGGTACAGTATAAAAAAAAATAAGTAATTTAAAAAAAAATATACTGTACCTAAGGTTATGTATATACTTTTAGGTATGATACAAAAAAAGGTTTGTAATAGATTATTATAATTATAATTGGAGTTAATTAAGTATATACCTTTTTGGTACGGTACAGTGTTAGGTGTTGGGTAAGGTATAGTACAAAAAAGTGGCTATATCTAGATAAATTTTTTTAAGCAGGGTATACAAAAAAAATAATAATTACTATACCAAGTTTTTTTTTGATGTTAGGTATGCAAAAAAATAAACACTTAATAAAAAAAGTTTACTGTACCCAAATCTAATATTAACAATTTGGGTACAGTATAAAAAAAAAAAATAAGTAATTTAAAAAAAAATATACTGTATCCAAGGTTATGAATATACTTTTAGATATAGTACAAAAAAAGGTTTGTAATAGATTATTATAATTATAATTGGAGTTAATTAAGTTAATTCTATGTTAATCTCACTTGGGTTTCTAATAAAGGTTGTAAAGAACATCATTATGATGATTTTAATAGTAGTAAAAAAAATACTAATATATATTTTAACTTCTAACTATACCATACTGTGCCCAAAAGAATAATTTTTTATAAGGTACACAAATTATAAATCTAATATATTTTTAAAATATAATATTAACTGTACCGTATCTAGGTAATAAATATTTTTATTAGGTACAGTTTTCAAATTAATATATACTATAGTTTGTACCTATTAGATACACAAAAATTACTAGATATATATAGGTACATTAGAAATATACTATACTGTACCCAATACCCAATACTGTACCATACCAAAAAGGTATATACTCAAGAAAAATTCAAGAATTTTTTCTTGTGCATAATTTTTTTTATTGCCTTACTTAGACAGCTACAATTCATAAATTTAAACTACAAAATAAAGAAGTTGTAATTGGATTAAAAATTTATACATTTGCTGATCATCTTTTGGATTGCGCTTTTCTTTTGACTGATTACAAATACAGTATTAGGATAAAATGTGCAAAATAACAAGTTTTTATAGATTTACTCTTATAAGTAATTTATAGCAATTTATAAAATTTAATTAATATTTTAAACTTAATTCCAAAGTATAAGACTTGAATCAGTTTATAAAACATTGCTGTTTTTATAGTTATAAAGATAAAATTAATTCGCTATAAAATTTCTTGTAGTAAAATCCTTAATTGTGGATGTCCTTAAAGATATTTCAAATTAAAATATATTTATTTATAGTACATTAACCAAGAAGCGACTCTTTATTATCAAAATTTAGTGATATTATTGTATACTTTTTTAAGTGAATTTACAAATAAAGGCCTAGAAAGTAAAAATAATTACAAATACGGACCCAAATAAAAAATAATTATATATAAGGATCTAAATTTTAAAAAATATTACATATAAGACCCAAATCTATTGATGCCTGAAAAAATATGATTACGGAATTACTGTGGCATAAGTGTTATTACTTTATATAGTGTGAGTACTCTAAAGACATCCAAAATCACTACTCCACAAAAATAAACATAAATTCGCAAAAAAAAATCTATAACTTTGTAAATCTTTCCTGTAGATAGTTTTTTTTGGTGAATTGTCCATATTCGTTGAGCAGTAGCGATTCATTTAAAAATAGCAAAGACTTTTTTTAGGCATGTCATGTCTAGAGATATGATATTTATATGATACCCAGATTTTTTTCACATACAGTATGTACAGTATATATAGATTTGATTTAATTAGTGACCAATCACCCCAACGTACGCACATGCATTAATTAAGTTGATAAAACCTACAAAATAGACTACACCAGAGTGTAGGATCAATTTTATTGCACATGATTTTCTGACGTCTATCAACCAATCAAAGATCAGGATCAGGTGTAATATGAAAATTTTCAAAACAAACGTTCGCTTTGCAAAAGTCGCATTTATCTCAAAATTTAGTCTAGTAAACCATCTTTGGGGTCCTAACAAAAAAATTTCCTTGTGTGATTTTGCTACATTATTGTTCTTTCTAACTTTAACCTAACCTTAACCTAAGCTCTAACCCAAGTTTTTATCTTAACAACATTTGTTTTCCAACTATTACGTGACAGTAAAATCGATCCTACGCCCTACAAAATGGGGTACGTCTAAAGCCGTGTACGTTAAAGTTACTTTTTTGATGCAGTTAGTGTTACTTTTTTGATGCAGTAATGGTTAGTGGTTTATATAAGTATCAATAGGATAATTTATGTAGAATGTAGATCATTTCCAATTTTATACCAAACACCCAAAATAGGTTATTTCCCATTATAACGAATTAGGAAAAAACATGAACCTCTGACTAACTTAAAAAGTCTACAAGATTTTCATAGAAAATCATCACGTTGTGATACTAAAATATCTCATCGCGTCGCTACCTCGAAATCACGATAATCAAATCTCTTCCCAAATTTCTCGTTAGAAGACGCGTATAACAGTATTTCGCAATAGAACGTAAACCTCGACTTTTATTAACAAGGCATTATGAGTATTGTTGCGATGAGAGTGTGAAAAATATTCATGATTATTTTAAGAAGCAGAAGGCTTTTTCTTGGTGCATTCATGACTATGTTGAATACACGATTGTAAATGAGCCAAAGCTTGATTTCTTTCAAGCTCTTAATATGTTCACAAGTAGTTTGAATACTCTAAATCAGAACTTTTCTATTCCCGTTTCGGTAAATCATTCTGTTCAGATTATCTCACATGGTTAATGGTGTGGTGTTTTCACTATCTTTTGATAATGAATAATATATAACAACATGAATATTTATATAACTGAATTCAATTATAATAGTCTGATGCAGGATTAGCAATAACAAACACGTGTTTTAATGTTTTTTTTAACTAGAAAACTACACAAGCAAACGATTATTTTCCATAATACTGTTGAGGTAGGTTGATATACCTGCATTCCATAATTATTTTAACATAAAACTAAACATATTATCACCCTACAGGAAACAGTATACCTTAATGCAAAAACAGATGCCTTTCAAACTCGCAGTCAGAATCTCTATTATCTGTGGGAACTTCAGGAACACTACGAACTTCAGGAACTCCGCGAACTCCACCGCAAACTTTCCGAGTCTAAATATAAAGCCTTTAAAAACTACATCTGACAAGAGACCATTTGAAAAAAAGGAATTTTAACAGTAATTCTTTTTTTTATTTTTGCTTTCTAATTATCATTTTTGTAAATAGAAAATATCAATATTAATATTTGTATTATTTGCATAATAGGTATATCCAAAAAATTTCTATCATATATGCATTCGATAAAGCAATCGAAATTTAGCAGAAGAAGTAAGAGAAGAAGTCGCTAGGGAGCTATCAATCATACGAGATGCTAATTCTGAAGTATGGACAACGACATTGGAAGGTTATATTAATACTGTCATCGAAGAAAATAAAGAAATAAAGCCCAGACTAAAGTATCAGATGAGGAAGAACTTTTTAGACTATATTGTGAAAAAATTTTCATTGATTTGTAGGTAGACATTAATCTATTATTTATCAAAGGTGATACTGACAACTACACTAACAACACTTTTTAGTTTTTACCTTGTAGATATCAATCCTTCTATGAGCAAAAAGATCAGTGAACGTAAACACATAGTGTACCAAATTTTCTCATGATTTTTTTTTTTTTAAAAAAAAATATGATGTTAATGAGATTTCAATATTAAGAAATTTTAATCTTTTTTAAAAAAATAGAGAATTT